CCGAAGGCCGATCTTTGAGCGGAGAGGAGGGGGATGAGAAATGAAGGAGTACGAGGAGTAGTAACAGCAGCAGTGGCGATGGCAAAGAGGGTGGGGAAATCAATGAGGTAGAGATGGGAGAGAGAGAGAGAGAGAGGGAGAGAGAGAGAGAGAGAGGGAGAGAAATAGAGAGAGAGAGAGAGAATATATAGAGAGAGAGAGGGAGAGAGGCGAGGGAGTGAGGCGAGGGAGAGAGGAAGGCAGGCCGAGGGGCAGGCGAAACTGGAGGAAAGGGAGGAGGGAGGGAGGGATGGAGGGGGGGAGGGAGGGAGGGAGGGAGGGAGCGAGGCAGGCAGGCGGGAGGGAGGCAGGGAGGGAAGGAGGAGAAGGAGGAGGAAGAGAAAGAGAGGAGGAGGAGGAGGAGGAACAGGCAAGAAGAATGGAGGACGAGATGGAGAGAAGGGGATGATGATGATGATGATGATGATGATGATGATGATGATGATGATGATAATGATGATGATGATGATACTGATGATGATTATGATGAGTATGATGATGATGGTGATGATGCTGATTATGCTGATGACGCTGATTGTCATGACGTTCATGGTGCTGATGATGGTGATGATGATGATGATGATGATGATGATTGTTGTGCTAATGCTGCTGATTACGATGATGGTGATGATGATATTGAGGATGATGCTGATGATGCTGATGATGCTGGTGATGATGATGATGATGATGGTCATGCTGATGATGAGAATGGTGATGCTGATCAACGTGCTGATTATGATGCTAATAAGGGTGATGCATCTGATAATGATGATGATGATGATGATGATGATGATGATGATGATGCTGATGATGATGATGATCGCCGTGCTGATGATGATGCTGATGATGATGCTGATAATGATGATGGTGACGATGATGTTGATGATGACGATACTGAAGGTGATGATGTCGATGACGATGGCGATTATGGTGATGATGCTGGTGATGATTATGATGATGATGGTGATGACAAGAATGGTGACTCTAACGCTAACGAAGATGTTGGTGATGATGATGATGATGATTGCGATGATGACGGTGATGATGATGAGTATTGTGACGATGACGATCCCGATGCTTATGCTGACGACGATGATGCCCATGATAGTGGAGATGCTGATTGTGACGGTAACAAATGCGATGATGATGGTGATGATGATGCTGATGATGACGGTGATGATGATGATGATGATGATGCGGATGATGATAATGATGATGACGATGATGATGATGATGATGATGATCGTGATGGCCATGCTGATGATGAGAATGGTGATGCTGATGAACGTGTTGATTATGATGATTATGCTGATGCTGATGTTGCGGATAATTATGATGCAGACGTGTATGGTGATGTTGATGACGATGACGACGATGATGACGATGCTGATGAAGATTGTGTTGATGACGATGGCGATTACGATTATGGTGATGATACATACGACGATGATGACGATTACGATGACGACTACGATGTTGATGCTGGTGACGATGACGATGACGACGACGCCGACGCCGACGATGACGAGACTGATGATGATGATCATACTGATGATGATGATGATGATGATGATGATGATGGTTTTGATGATGGGGATGATGACGACATTGGTGATAATGATGGGGATGATGATGCTGCTGATGATGATCATGATGATAATGACGATGATGATGATGATGGTGATGATGATGATGATGACGATCATGATGCTGATGATGATGACTTTGGTTTTGGTGATGAGGAACATGATTATGTTGGTGGTGATGATGATGCTGGCTATGATCAGGAGGAGAAGCGGGAAGAGGGAGATAGAAGGAAAAATAAGGAAGTGGAAAAGGAGGAAGAGATGATTAATGGGAGGGCACAGGGAGGGGGCTGGCAGGCGGGCGCAACTTCTTTGCCCCTCCCGCCGATACTGTTCCTCCTGCTCACTGGGCGCATGCCCTGGCTGTCGTCTGAGTGGATCGTGCTCCGTCTGGTGTGTGGGAACCGCCCGAAGCGCATGTTGTCGAGCGTCGCCTGCCGGTTCCGCAAGTAGTCGTGCATGGGGTGAACCATGGAGTGCGCCTCCTTCGGGGAGATTGTGCTCGATCGGACGATCGGGCCGTCCGACCGAGTTCTGGGCTGCTTCGAATCAACGAGAGCGGCGCGGCACTGAAAACTAATACAGCCGTGCTGCGGTCACTTTGTGGGGGGTCGCAGCTTGTGATCGCGATTGAATCATGCCTCCGTGCTCCCAAGTCCCGACCCTAGATCGTCCCCTTACTCCTACTCCCATATCACTAGCTGTACTGCACGACCCGCTGCACTCTAAGAGCAGCTGCGCGCGAACACATGGCGGTACCAATTGCACTCACATGCTAGGTGCACTCATGTGCACTCTGGCCGGAGGGGTCCAGTCGCAATGCGAGCGCGGAATAAAGAAACAAATCCATGCGCCGCCGAAAGTCCCGAGTTTTAACGGGTCGCCGCGAAGGTTGACCCCCCGCGGAAAGAAGAAAAGAAATCCGGCCGAGGGGGTTTGGGGGTTCAGGTATGAGTCGCGGGGGCGAATACGAAGTGCGGAACTGTCGCCAGTTTCGTGGCCGCCTGGAAAGTCCCGCGGAGTGGAGGTCCATGGGGACCCAGTTGGGACCTCGCGAACCCCTGGGGGGTTGCGAAGTGCGGAGGAGGGGGAAGATGGAGGAGGAGGGGGAAGATGGAGGAGAGACAGGGGGGGAGAGGGGCTCACTTTCCGATCGGCCACTCGGGCTTCCTTGGGAGGTCGTCGTCGTCGTCGTCGTCGTCGTGGTCGTCGTCGTCGTCGTCGTCGCGTCGTCGTCGTCATCGTCGTCGTTGTCTTCAGGTTTCCCTGGGAAGTAGTCGTCGTCGTCGTCGTCGTCGTCGTCGTCGTCGCCGTCGTCGTCGTCGTCGTCGTCGTCGTCGTCGTCGTCGTCGCTGTTCTCGTTGTCGTTGTCGTTGTCGTAGTCTTCGTCGTGCGGGGACCCAGTTGAGACCTCGGGGCTCCCAGGAGGGCTGCGAAAAGCGCAACTGTCTCCACTTTCGTGAGCTCCTGGGAGGTCCCGCGGAGTGGAGTTCCGCGGAGTGGCTCCCTGGGTGGCTGCGATCTGCGCAACCGTCGCAACTTTCGAGAGCTCCTGGGAGGTCCCGCGAAGTGGAAGCCCACTGGGACCCAGAGACCTCGCGGCTCCCTGGGGGGCTGCGATGTGCACAGCTGTCGCCAATTTCCTGGGCTCCTGAAGGTCCAACGGGGTGGAGGTGCACGCGCACCCAGACGAGACCTCGCGGTTCCTTGGGTGGCTGCGAATTGCGCAACTCTCACCACTTTCGTGGCCTCCTGGGAGGTCCAACGGTGCGTAGGTCTGGGAGGCTGCGAACTGCGCAGCGATCGCCATTCTCGTCTGTTCCTTGGAGGTCTATAGCGGATTGGGGGCCTACGCGGAACTAGACGAGACCTCGCGGCTCCATGGGTGGCTGCGATATGCGAAATTGTCGCCACTTTCGTGGGTTCCTGGGAGGTCCACCAGAATAGAAGTGCACGCGCATTCAAACGAGACCTCGCTGCTCCCTGGGCGGCTGCGATCTGCGCAACCGTCGCCAGTTTCGTGGGTTCGTGGGAGGTCCAGCGGGGTGGAGGTGCACGCACATCCAGACGAGACCTCGCTGCTCCCTGGGCGGCCGGAATCTGCGCAACTGTCGTCACGTTCGTGGGCCTGGGAGGTCCAGCCGGGTGGAAGTGCACGCGCATCCCGACAAAACCTCGCGGCCCCGTGGGTGACTGCGAACTGCGCACCTGTCGCTACTTGCGAAATCTCCTGTGAGTTTCAACGGGGTTGTGAACGCGCATCCACACGGTGACCTCGTCGCCCCGCGGGTGGCTGCGAACTGCGCACCTAACTCTACTGGGGGGTCCAGCGGGGTGGTGTACGCGCATCCAAGCGAGAGTTCGCGGCTCCCTGGGCGGCTGGGAAGTGTGCAACTGTCGGCACTCTTGTGGGAGCCCGGGAGGTCCAGCAGAGTGGAAGGCAGCGCGGATCACTTCGGAACCTCGCGGCCTCGTAGAGGGGGCTGAGAACGGCGCAACTGTCGTCACTTTCGCGGGTTCCTGGGAGGCACGGCGGAGGTGAGAGCAGCGCAGATCACTTTGAGCTCTCGCGGCTTCTGGTATCTGCGAAGTGTGCAACTGTCGCCTCTTTCGTGGGCTTCTGGGAGGCACGGCGGAAGTGAGGGCACCGCAGATCATTTGAGACTTCGCGGTTCCCTTGCGGGCTGCCTTGCGGGCTGCGAGCTGCACACCCGTCGCCACTTTCGCGGGCTGCTGGAAGCACGGCGGCGTGCAGGGCGCCCAAATGGCACGCGTCCACGCGGCGCGTGGCGCCGTCGCGTCCTTTCGCGCGCGACGCTGTCGCATCACAGAGCACAGAGCGTCGGAACGTCACGTAGCGCATGGCGCTGTCCTCAATGGCCCACTCCTGCGCAGGTGCGCGAGGCGCGTGGCCCGACAATGTCAAGCGGAGAATTTCATAGTGCTGCATACATATCTCGCAATCTATTCATTTGTATGGAACGTTCATATACATAGCCGCTTTGCGTGGAGAAAATGTTGGGCACGTCTCGAGTAATTGCAAGGTCAGCCTTCCTCGGGTTCCACGGCTTCCCCAAATCCCCCAAAGAAACGCCAAGCAATGCTAATCAACGCCACGGAACGCCAAGCAATGTCAAGCAATGGCAAGCAATGCCAAGCAACGCCAAACAATGCCAAGCAATGCCAAGCAACGCCAAGCTGCGCCAAGCAAAACAATGCCAAGCAAACAATGCAATGCCAAGCAATGCCGAGCAATGCCGCTTAGGAAGCGTTCCCCTAGGTGGGGTCACGCCGGGCTCATGTTTTCGAGGTGGCGATTACAGCAGCCGCGTTGCGGCGGAGCTTGGTCTGGCGGCGGCGGGTTGAGAGGGCGGC